CACATTGAACTGTAATATATAAACTCAAGAGCTGTTGGAGAGCTATATCCTCCCATATGTGAACTGGGAAGCAGAGAAAGCTGGTACTTAGCAGAATGAAGCAGATAGGAGAACACAGCCAAGATGAAAGATGGAGTGAGGATACCTTTTGGCTGCCTCTTGGGTTCCATGGTATAACCCTGTATTCTTACAAAACAAATCCCTCCTGCCTCTCTCTCTCTCTCTTTTCAATACTAGCTAAGCTGTCTTTGTTACATGCAATCAGAGTCTTAACTCAGACACTATGTAATAGATATCACACCCTGGAGTCAGAGCTACAATGCTATTCCTTGGTTCTGGTCCACTCCCTGGGCAACCCACAGTACAGCAGTGATAATGTGACAGTGAGATGCACTTGGTAACTAAGACCCTGTGGGTGAAGCCCAAGATGTTCCTAGTATATAATATAGCAACAAAGTGATACTGATGTAGACTGATAAACCAGCTTACATAAGTGTATTTATCTGAAAACCATATCACACTACATTTATTTAAAAACTGGAATCGGATTTGCTTTTCCTGTTGTTGCTATTAGGTGCTGTCAAGTCAGTTCCAACTCATAGGGACCCTACGTACAACAGAACAAAACACTGCCTGGTCCTGCAACACCCTCACAATCGTTGCTGAGCTTGAGCCCATTGTTGCAGCCACTGTGTCAGTCCATCTCGTTGAGGGTCTTCCTCTTTTTTGCTGACCTCCTACTTTCCCAAGCATGATGTCCTTCTTCAGGGACTGGTCCCTCCTGATAACATGTCCAAAGTACGTGAGATGAAGTCTTGCCATCCTCGCTCCTAGGGAGCATTCTGGCTGTACTTCTTCCAAGACAGATTTGTTCATTCTTCTGGCAGTCCATGGTATATTCAATATTCTTCACCAACACCATAATTCAAAGGCATCAATTCTTCTTCAGTCTTCCTTATTCACTGTCCAGTTTTTACATGCATATGAGGTGACTGAAAATATCATGGCTTGGGTCAGGCGCATCTTAGTCCTCAAAGTGACGTCTTTGCTTTTTAACTTTAAAGAGGTCTTTTACAGCAGATTTTCCCAATACACTACATCATTTGATCTCTTGACTGCTGCTTCCATAGGCGTTGATTGTGGATCCAAGTAAAATGAAATCCATGACAACGTCAATCTTTTCTCCATTTATCATGATGTTCCTTATTGGTCCACTTGTGAGGATTCTTGTTTTCTTTATGTGGAGGTGTAAACCATACTGAAGGCTGTATGTAGTCTTTGATTTTCATCAGTAAGTGCTTCAAGTCCTCTTTGATTTCAGCAAGCAAGGTTGTGTCATTTGCATGTCGCAGGTTGTTAATGAGTCTTCCTTCAATCCTGATGCCCCCTTCTTCCTCATATAGTCTGGCTTCTTGGATTATGTGCTCAGCAGACAGATTGAATAAGTATGGTGAAAGGATACAATCTTGACATATACCTTTTCTGAGTTTAAACCACTAAGTATCCCCTTGTTCTGTCTGAATGACTGCCTCTTGTTGTATATACAAATTCCTCATGGGCACAATTAAGTGTTTTGGAATTCCCATTCTTCACAATGTTATCCATAATTTGTTACGATCCACACACTGAATACCTTTGCATAGTCAATAAAACACAAGTAAACATCTTTCTGGTATTCTCTGCCTTCAGCCAAGATCCATCTTATATCAGCAATGATATCCCTCTGATGGTGATTGAATTGTGTCCCCCCAAAATATCTGTCAACTTCGCTAGGCCATGATTCGCAGTATTGTGTGGCTGTCCTCCATTTTGTGATTGATTTTCCTGTATGTTGTAAATCCTAATCTCTGCCTGTGGATAATGAGGCAAGATTGGATTATATTGAAGAGGATTAGGGTGGGATGTAATACCCTTGCTCAGGTCACATTCCTGATCCAATACAAACGGAGTTTCCCTGGAGTGTGGCCTGCACTACCTTTTATCCTGCAAGAGATAAAAGGAAAGGGAAGGGAGCAGAGAGTTGGGGACCTCATACCACCAAGAAAGCAGTGCCCGGAGCAGAGTGCGTCCTGTGGACCTGAGATTCCTTTGCTGAGATGCTCCCAGACCAAGGACGACTGATGCATCACAAGGACCTTCCTCCGGAGCCAACAGAGAGAGAAAGTCTTCCCTGAATTTGGACTTGTAGCCTACTGGACTGTGAGAGAACAAACTTCTCTTCGTTAAAGCCATCCACTTGTGGTATTTCTGTTATAGCAGCACTAGATGACTAACACACCCTCGTTCCACATTCTCTTCTGAATTTGGCTTGAATTTCTGGCAGTTCCCTGTCTATGTACTGCTGCAACCATTTTTGAATTATCTTTATCAAAATTTTACTTGCATGTGATATAATGATATTGTTGGA